CACATTAAAGGATCAGAAGACTTGGAATATAATATTCCAGAGGGCAAAGGAGCTAGGATTACAACCAAAAATCACCTACCCAGCAAAACTGAATATAATCCTTCAGGGGGGAAATGCATATTTAATGAGATAGAGGACTTTCAAGCATTCTTGATGAAAATACCAGAGCTGAATAAAAAATTTGATTTTCAAATACAAAACTCAATGGAAGCATAAAAAGGTAATAGGAAATGGAAATCATAAGGGACTTAATACGGTTAAATTACTTACATGAGAAGATTATGTAACTCTTAAGACCTTTCTCATTATTAGAATAGTTAGAATGAGTATATGTAGACAGAGGGCACAAGTGTGAGCTGAATATGAAGGGATGACATCTGAAAAATAAAATTAAGGGATGAGAAAGGAATGTACTGGGAGAAACAGAAAGGGAGAGGTAGAGTGGGGTAAATTATCTCACATAAAAGAGGCAAGAAAAAGGTTTTACGGTAGTGGAGGGAAAGAAGGGGGAGGAGAAGGGGAATGAATGAGTCTTAGTCTCATCAGGATTGGCTCAAAGATGTAATAACATGTGCATGCAATTGGGTACAGGAATCTATTTACCCTACAGGAAAGTAGGAGGGGAAGGGAATAAGGGAAGAGGGGGATCAAAGAGAGGGTAGATTGAGGAAGGGGGTGGTCAGAAGCAAAACACTTTTGAGTAGGGACAGGGTGAAAGGAGAGAGAAAGAATAGAATAAACTGGGCTGGGGGGAATAGGATGGAGGGAAATACAGTTAGCAAAAGTAACTGTGGAAAAAAAAATTTAAAGCAAGTTTCTCTGATAAAGGCCTCATTTCTCAAACATAAAGAGAACTGAGTCAAATTTATAAAAATAAGAGCCATTCCCCAATTGTTAAATGATCAAAAGATATGATCACTTTTCAGATGAAGTAATCAAAACTATCTATAGCCACATGGAAAAAATATTCTAACTCACTATTGATTGGAGAAATTCAAATTAAAACAGTTCTGAGGTACTACCTCATACCTATGAGATTGTCTTAATAGGACAGAAAAGGTAAATGACAAATATTGGGAGGGATGTGGGAAAAATGAGACATTAATGTACTGTTGGCAGAGTCGTGAATTGATTCAATCATTCTGTGGAGCAATTTGGAACTATGCCCAAAGGGCTATAATACACCTTTTGAACTAGCAATAGCACTACTAGCTATGTATCCTAAAAGAGATACAAAACAGAAAAAGAAAAGGACCTATGTATACAAAAATATAGCAGCCCTTTCTGGGGGTAAAAAATTAAAAATTGAGGGAATGCCCATCAGCTGGGCATTGTAGCAGGTGATTATTATGGAATACTATTCTACTTTTATAAATGATGAGTAAGATGTTCTTAGAAAAACCTGCAAAGACTTACATGGGCTCATGAAAAGTAAAACATACTGTGTATAAGTAACAGCAACATTGTAAGATGATCAGCTGTGAATGACTTAGCTATTCTCAGCAATACAATGATCCAAGACAACTCTGAGGACTTATGATGAAAAATGATATCCATCCCCAGAGAAAGAACTGATGGTGTATGAACACAGATTGAAGCATACTTTTTTTGAACTTTCTTTATTTTTCTTGAGGATTTTTATGTTTTCTTTCATAACATGACTATTATGGATGTGTTTTGCATGACTACACATGTATTATTACCTATATAGAATTGCTTGCCTTCTCAACGGCAGGAGGGTGTGGTGGGGGGGAGGAAGGGAGAGAATTTGAAACTCAAAGTTTTTAAAATGAGTGTTAAAAATTGTTTTTGCATGTAACTGGGGGAAAATAAAATAATAAATAAAAGTAGTGAGTTTCAAACAATAGAGTTACATGTGTTTAAACATTTTGATTTAAAGTAACTGTAAAAGCCTGTTCACTTCATGTTTTCAACTGATGGTCATGAGTTAAATACCAACAAAAGTGGAGGTTTGTGAGATTTTTTTTTTATTTGCTGTTATTTTGAATTCATTTCAGTATTTTTCTTCCTACTTACCTTAAAGTTCGCTCCTTTTTGGCAAATCACAGCAACAAAGTTCACTGATGGACCAAGAAGATTTGAGATGAGCAGATAGAGACCCCCTTGGATCTTAGAACTATATTTACAAGTGGAAGAGGTCTAAGTGGCCAATGAGTTTAATGGCTTCATATTATAAATGGGGAAACTGAGACCCAAAGAAGCTAGGTAACTTGTACAATGTTACATAGGTAGCAAATGACACAGGTAGCATTTGAACCCAGGGTCTCTGCTCCCAGAGCCAGTGCTTTTAGATTTAGAGTTAGAAGGGTCTTAATCTAATCCCCTCTTTTTATGGATAAGGAGATTGAAGGCCAGAAAAGGGCTGTGACTTCTTTAGAGTCAAACAGAGACAAGACTTGAACCTCGGTCCTCTGACTTGAAAGCCAGTGCTTTTTTCTTTACTAGGCATCCTTTCTGGCTTATAATATGACACTTTAGAACTCTATAGAATGTCCTAAACATCTGAGGGCAGTTTCAAGCTTTGATAACTCAAGGAAGTATAAATACCACAAGCTTCCAAAACTATCATTTGAAGGTTTAAGTATGTAAATTGCTTTTACACTTAGTTTTGAGAATTCTGCATAACAATTGTTTAATTTTCATTTTAACAAGACAGGGTATCTGTCATACACTGCATGTGAAACAGTTTCTGGATGATGCTTTCTTAGACTGGTTCATCCATTGGAGAGGTCTCCTCTTCTTTGGCCCCCTCAGTCACCTGATTTTTCTCTGGGACTTTCTCTTATAGGGGTTACATCAAAATTGTTGGGTATGCAGCAGAATCCCATTCTTTAGATGATCTTAAGGCTAAGATTACAAATACAATCCTTTCAGTCACTAAGCAACAACTGATGGAGGTTTTTGCAAAGTTTGAAAGTCAACCAAAGGAGTGGTTTCAAATGCAAACAGAAACAGGAACCACTAATCAATACATAAAGATCCCGACAGGCCATATATTGACTTAATTTTAAAGAATAATATTTTCTATGTTTAATTGTATCTTTAATTATTTTGTTAAATATTTCCCAATTATATTTTAATTTGGTTCTGACTACACTCTGAGAGAATTATGGGCCACATGCAGCCCACAGCCAGCTTGTTGGATACCTCCACTTACAGTATAGACTACAGAAAGCAGTGACTGGATTAATGATCTAAATATTATTAAAATCCACATAGAAAAAAAATAACAGAAGAAGAGGGGATGAAATATTGTCTCACTTATAAGAGGATTATTTTTATCATACAAATAGAAGAAATCATTGAAGATAAAAATCAATGGGTTTGATTACTCAAAAAAGCTTTTTCATAGAAAAAAGTACCATCTTAAAAAAAAAAGACGGAGCAGATCTTAAAAAGTATGTCAGATAATGGTCTGAATTTATAAGCGAATGATGCTTATCTAGAAAAGTAATATGCATTCCCCAAAAGAGAACCAGTCAAAGAGAATGACCAGTTTTTGAGGAGAAAATAATAACTATATGAAAAGATGTTCAAATGCCCTGGTCATCAGAGAAATGCAGATGAAGCCAACTTTATAATCCCTACACATACACACACACACACACACAAACAAACACACACACACGCACACACACACACACTCCCAAAAAAAAGGTACAACTGAAGGGCCGAGGAATTGGAGAAACAAGCAATTTCGACACCAGCTTCCCAACACTACTGCAAACTTTTTGGAAAATGGTCTGACAACTTAAAATAAGAATAAATAAAACCAAGCACATCCTCTGACCCAGTGACTCCATTTCTAAGACATCCTACAATCATGAAAAGGGAGAAAAGGACCAGTTTCTATGAAAATATATATTCTTTCTATTTATAATCAAAAATTAGAAACAATATGTATGTTCAGAGATTGAAGGAGGCAGAATCATTCACAATATGTGATCTATAATTACTATAATATTATAGGGGAAATTATTGGGCTTGTGATTTCCTTGGGTGCAGAAAGTCCCTCCTAATGCAGGTGGACACTTTCCCTGCAACTCTTGAGAGTTGTCTACAGCACTGTTGTTTGGTTTTTAGTCTCATTCCATTTTGTTAAAATAAATGGTATAGCACTGTTATTTTCTCTGTGTGTTTGATTTAGTCAAATGGTTCAAATTTGAGAGTCTTTTACCAAGCAATTTTGGTTTGACTGTTGATTAACTTGTTAACCTTTCATTTATAGTAATAACTTTTTTTAATAAAATAAACGGTCATTTTAATGTTTCTACTCAGGGTTGCAACTTTAGCCATCTTTGCCTCCTTCCTTTCCCCCAACTCCTAAATCCAAATGGCTTTCAAGTCTTGTCAATTTTACATCCAAAACATTTCATACAACTATCCTCTCCATCCACCCACCCAAAACCAGTTGACCTCTTTCTAGACTATTGCAGTAGCCTCCTATTTGTTCTCTCTCTCAGGTATCTCCCCACTCCAATCCATCCTTCAAAATAATCACCCTAAGGCATAGATCTAACCATAATACTCCCTAGCTCAAAATTTGAGAGGCTCCCAATTAACTGTGGGCTAACATATGAACTATTCATTCTGGCATTTAAGGACCTGCACAGCCTGGCCCCAACCTACCTTTCCAGAAATATGTCATAATAATGCTCGTCATTAACCCTATCTCCAGTCAAACCAAGCTAAAAGTTATTTTTCTTTTTTCCTGAATTAGACTTTACATTCTCTGTTTCCATGCATTTGTTTACTCTGCTCCATATCATTAGAATGTACTCCCTCTCAGAATTCCTTTCTTCCTTCAACGCTCAGCTTAGGTACCTGCCCTTCCATGAAGCCTTCTATGAGCTCCCAGCTGTTAGCCCTCACTCCTTCTTCAGATTACCTTTTGTCTTTCTACCCTTCTCCAATCCATCCTCCACACAGGTGCCCAAAAAATCTATATTAATGTAATGATCACTTGCCAGTACACTGACCTTCTGTCCCAGCTTCAGCTGCCTGGTTGGCATCCTAAATTTCATTGCTCATGAAGGAATGGTGGAGAGATGGGCGGTGACTTACAAGGTAGGGCAAGCATGAAGTTGTGAAGGTGAATTGGGTGAAGGATGAAAATGGAGATTGGCAATCAACCAGCTCACCCTCCTCCTCCAGGCATTTACCTTTCCTAAGATTCTGACAGTAAGCCAGCACTCTTTGAGAAATAAACAAGATACAAGTGCAAGCCAAGAACATGGTTATGCCAAGCAAGAAGCAGGAAGTGTGAGGAGTGCAAAGTAATGAGTTCCCATGACAAGGTAAAGTGAATCCCAGGCTAGGGACAGATATTGTGTATTCTTCGATCAGAGGACAAGTGTATCTCTCTACCTTTGACTGTCTCCAAATTTCCTAGCCATACTTGTGGACTTGGGATAGAATAAGTAAGTTTGGAGCTAGGAAATTAAAGCTTGTGGAGGCAGGATAGGGAGATTGAGAGTTAATACTGACCCCCTCATGGTTATTGCAGCTTTATCATGTTTTTATTACTTCAATTAAGCATTTATTCTACTATTTATTCTAATGGAAGCCTGAATAATTAAGAACAGAGGGAGTCAAGAAGAAGGAGAGTTTTCCTAGAATTGTACAAAGGCCTAATGAGACCTGAAATCTGACTGGTTAATCTACACAAACCATCCCTTGACTAAGCAGGAGAGCTGTAGCACTACAAAGGGAATGAACTAACAAGTAGTGGGATGGCCAGCTTTCCAAGAGCTGGAGAGAGCCTAGTAGTTACATCCATGACCTCTAGTGCTGAATGCACAAATACCCAAGTGGGGATAAGACTTGACTGATAGCACTGGGTCCCAACATGAAGTGGCCTCTGTAACCCTGATTGCAAAACCTACATGCGCACATGCTGCATTCACCAGGAAATAGAAACTCCCTGAGAGCAAGGCCTGTTTTGTTTTGGTTTGTTTGGTTTATCTTTACATCCCCAGTGCCCAGCACAGTCCAGATATTTAATAAACTTTAGCTGAATTGAATTGAATTCCATCCTTTCATACACACACTGTGCATACGTGTTATCACCTTTGTTTCAGCAGGGCATATTTCCCAGAGCTTGTTCTGCCTGACTGGTGTATCCTTGCCTTATTATACCCCTCATTTAAAGCCCCTCTAGATTTTCAGATTGCAATGTACTATAATATTAACTCATCTGACCCACAGGCACAAAAAAGTTTGAACAGTATCTGTATTTTCATTTAAACCCAACCTTCAGTGTTCAAAGGGAAGCATCTTTCAGAGGGGCCTATATTGCAATGTGTTTTATATTGGGTCCAAAGGTACAAATGTAGAAAAAGCTTCCAAAGCCTTCCATTTTCTAAAGATCACCATAATTTCCTGAGAAAAAGAATGAAAGAAATATTTTCATAAGTCAGAAAGCAAAAAGACAAGCAGGAGCACAATGATATTAGTCTGGTAAAAACAGAACTGCACAGAACCTCAGAGTAGAGAGGGATCCTCAGAGGCCACCCTGTACCAGACCTGAAATCATCTTGACAGTATCCCAGTAAGTGGTCCTGCATTAGCTGTGTTTTACCAGGCCAGATACAATGTGACTTTCCTACATCATATCAACAAAGCTGCCTATTTTGTCGGCATACGGCCCCATTCCAACCAACCTTTTATCTGTGAGCTTGCAAGCCAGGACAATGCCACACTAGTTTTCCTTCCTTACAAGGCAAGGTAGCTCAGCATGGTGTAAGTAATGAGGAGTCATTTGTTGGATTCTCTTAGCTTTGCACTGGTCCCCAAAGTAATAATCTGCTCTAATAGATCTGCAGCTTCAGAAGGATAGGACATAAACTATGGTGATTATAAGCATTCTGACACCCACTGGGAAATTTTGGATTCCTGCTATTTTTCCATGAAAGAAAAAGCTCTCTTTGGCTTTGTCTTACCTTAGCCCCCTGAGAAACATTAATGAGCATTTGACTAGTTAGGGGGATTTGAAATGCGATCAGGAAGCAATAAGTTAAGGAAATCTCCTCATGACTCAAATGATTTGCACAGACTGCCGACGTGGAAAGGAGAACAAAGGGAGAGTTTGTTCTATTATATAGGGCAGGATGGAGTGAGAGTAATGGAAGGGACACAAAGTATCTGCACACCAGTCATCACACGTCCTCAGCCAAACTCACATCATGGGCACAGGAATTTTGAGCAGTGGTATTATTGGAGTTATATGGAACCTTAGTGGTCCCCTTATAATCCAACAGAATGCTGGTGCCCTGCTCTCCATCCCTCCCTGAGACATGGGTATTCATTTTAGACCTTGGGCCTTCCCTTGTGTGAGTAAAAATGTATCATGAATCTAAGCTGGCAATTCTTTTGTTTAAAACTGTCTTTGTATCCTCAGAGGCTAGCACAGTGTCTTTTGTTTCTGTTGTTGAGTCATGTCCTGACTCTTCATGACCCCATTTGGGGTTTTCTTGGCAAAGATACCGGAGTGATTTGCCATTTCCTTCTCCACCTCATTTTTCAGATGTGGAAACTGATGCAACAGTTAAATGACTTGCCTATGGTCACACAGTTAGTAATTATCTGAGGCTAGGATTTGAACTCAGGTCCTCCTGACTCTAGAGCTGGCACTTTATCCACCACGGCACTTAGCTACCTCAAGCACAATATGTAACACATACTGAATAAGTACTCAATAAATGACAGTTAAGTCGAAAGCAAAATGTATTTATTCTTTAAATAGAGAGAGATTGGTAACGCAAGTAGATAGAATACTGGGCTCGGAATGAGGAAGCTCCGAGTTCAAATCTCGTATCAGACACTTACTATGTGACTGGGAAAGTGACAACCTCCTTCAGCCTCTTTCTTCTCACATTTTTAATAAGGGGATGATAAAAGCACCTACTTTGTACAGTTGTTGGGAGATTAAATAACATATATCAAGTGTTTTGAGAACTTTATGTTTGCAACTGTGTTTAGTTATTATAATTATTTTTATTTCATGTTGAATAAAGTCCAAGGGATTGCATGATCCCATCATGTACCATGTATCAAATGCCCACTTTGACATTAACTTTTTATACTTGGCTTTTATTTATTCATTTATTTATATTTGTTGCCCTCTCTAATCAATCCCCAAATCTTCCTAATTCTTTCTCCTCAAGATCTCTCAAATTATCCCTTGCTCTTCATTATCACAAGCATCACTCATCTGTCCAGATACTCACTGCCTCACACATGGATAATTACAGCTCCCTCTACCTTCCCCTCCCCCTCTTAAAGCATATCCTCCAACCGGCTGTCAGGGTAACTTTCCTTCAATACTCCCTTTTTTTCAATCACGTCACCCCACTGCTCAAGTTCTACAGCATTTGGGACCTCTCTGAGATCCATAAGGCTCACTTTGCATCTGGAAACACAGCTCTCTTCCCACCCTTTCTGACAACTACCATCTTTGCTTTCCCCTTTGGATGTGCAGGCTAATCCCTGGGATCCAGATGGCCTTTGAAGAACCATACAGTTTTAGATGAATAAATGAGCTTAATGCATCAGAGATGGGGAACAGACACATCCTTAAAGGAAGAACCTGCTTCTGTTGATTAAATCAAAGACCTTCCTTGCCTCTGTTTCTGTCTCTGTTGTTCGGGTGACTGAGGCAAGGCCGGGCCATCGTATATGTCAGCTGGAAGAAAGGACACAGAGCTTGTTGCAGGCAACCATATTAAAGTACCAGGGATCCTGTGTGATCCTGGGAAAGTCACTTAACCCTGTTAGCCTCAATTTCCTCATCTGTAAAATGAGCTGGAAAGGGCAATGGCAAACTACTCCAGTATCTTTGCCATGAAAATCCCAAATGGGGTCAAAAAAAGTCAGATACAACTAGGGGGGAAAAGGACTGACCATGAAGCTAAATTGAGCCTTAATCTCCTGGACAGACTAAGTCTCAAGGACCATTTCAATACCTTTTAAGGAAAAACCACCCAAGCCTGGCTAGGGTGGATAGATGATGGTCTAAGCTGGCAATTCTTTTGTTTAAAAAACATGAAGGCCTCTTCTAAGCCCCTAAATATCTGGAAAGGACTAGGAAAGCTCCCTTTTGACTTTTTAGACTCAATAACAAATTCAATAAACATTTACTAAGTTCCTGCTTTGTCTAAGATGCTGGACCAAGGGTCAAAGATACAAAGGAAAAAAATAAAAGTGACTGTCCTCAAGGGGCTTACATTCTTCCAGGTTTATACTTGTGCAACGTATCAAATCTAACTTTTAGTTTAATAACAACTAGCATTTATGGAGCACTTTACATCTTTTACAAAGTACTTCACATTCATTTTCTCATTTGATCCTCACAAAAGCCCTGGGGTGGGTGCTACCAATAACCCCCATTTTATAGACAAGGAAACTGAGAAACTGAAGGTTGCCAACTAGACCAGAATACTTCTAACCAGTGGCTGGCTGGAGCTGCACAAAGCAGGCCAGAGCCAGGAGAGTCAGGACACAAACGGAAGTCTAATTAATTCAGGGTGAGGAAAATGACATTTGCAAACAGAATCCCCCCCAAGAAGCAGGGCTTAACATTATGGGGCAAGGCTGTGCTTTATATATATATAAGTGGGTTGGACTATGACACAATTATTCTTAGCTATTCCCACAGCAGGGTCATGCATAGTGTAGACAATGCAAGCATTCCTGGGTCCTGTGGGAGCAGTTCTTAAGTTGATTGCCTCAAGTCTTGGGGGTTGTGATTACTCTGCAGGGTACAGAACCAGAGTTCTGTGATGGGAACAGGGATTGTGAGAATGTCAGACATGTAATGGATGTTGGCTCTCAGGTCCCTGGGAAATAGGGGAAGAAATCCCTCAGTGAACACATAGCGCTGGTCAAAGCAATACACTTTGCCAGAGTGTGAGATCATCCAGAGTGCAAAGGATTATTGTTATGCCAAGTTCAGGATACAGCCTGTTAACTGGGCCTTAGCTCTGGGAAACAGTGTCTCCAAAATATTTTTACAAGGTTAAGTGACTTGTCTAGGTTCACACATATCTGAAGTTACATTTGAACTCAGGTCTTTCAGACTCCATACAGGTCTGCACCTCCTGCAAGGACTCACAATCCCCAAAGCAGCTGCAGTGTTAAATTTAGAACCTCCACCAGTTCTCACCCATAGCCAACTTAAGCTCATAG